ACATAGCAATTAGGAAGTGATTTTTCAAGGCTGTTCTGGAAGCTGCCAAGGATGTTGTTTGTTAAATTATTTGGTGTCTTCTCTGTAGACCCAGGGGAAGTATCTTTCTCTGGCCTCTGCGTTCAGGGTTTCTCTTGAGTGCTGGTGTGTTCTAGCCTTATGGACACTGTGAAGCTCATAACCCACTGTGGCTTTCTTGACATATTGACTTCTAAAGAACACAGAGCCAAATTAGTAGCTTCATCTTAGGGAGTTTACTGACTTTCCTTATGATTCTAAATCTCTTTCTCTTATATCCTTTTGTCTCATTTTTCTTCCTTTTAATTTAATTTACTTTTCTGTGGCATGTGCAATTTTTGGAAGCCATCTTAAATCCCTTTTGGAACACAGTGGGCTATAAATGAAGAAAAATTATTCTCTTTAAAAAAGAATTCCCTGCAAATGACTGTATTAATGTTGGGCTCCCTTAATTAGCTTGATGTCTTAGATGAATGAGTTTTTCATTGCTTTTGATCATATTTTAAAGTTCACTATGAAGGTAGAACCCAATCTTGCTAGAGATAAAAGCACATAGGAACATATTCAACTAGTTTTAAGTTGCCATATTGTAGACTGGCCAAAACAGAGTGCAAGAGCCTTCATTCAAAGAATGAAGGTGAAGCAGGGAAAAGAAAAGTGATCTCAAGAAGAGAATTCCTATGATTAATATCCGCCTTTGACAGATGAAGAAACTCAGACACAAACTACCGGTGCAAGTTACTCAAAATTTTTTTTGTGCTAGAGACTGTCTTGTGCTAAGTTTGTCATATATGTTTTTTGTCATGTATACTTTATATTTTAATCTTTACTGCAAATTTATGAGTTACTATCCCCATTTTACTTATAAGAAAACTGACATTCATTGAGATTATGAGATAAATGAGAATATGGTGGTTGAATGTTTCAGTTGGTGATTGGATATGTGGTGCCCCACCTTGAGCTGTGTCCATAACCATCTCCATCACGGAAAGTGAAACTACCATCATCTCTCTCACAGGAACTAAAGCTTACTGATCTTTATGTCTGCACTCTAGCACACTCAACTCTTCACGATGCAGTGAAAGTGATAGAATCACCAATCTGCTCATATTACCTTTCTGCTTAAAACATTTTTTGTTTTGATTAGTTTTGTTTTTTTGTTTTTTTTTGGAGAGATTTTCACTGTAGGGCACGTGCGCTCGCCAGACAGACAGAGAGAGACATAGAGACAGAAAGCGAGAAATCACCCCCCAGGGGGGATGGTCACGCCGCAATCCCTTCTCCTCCATTCTCCTCTCGGGATCTTGGGCACGCACGCACACGCGCCCGGCGTGAGTTTTAAGCCACCGGGTCCGGGACACGAACCACGGTCGACTACGTGGGAATCCAGCGACATAGCCATTACGCTAACTGCTGGTTCCCAGATTAGTTTTGTTTTAAAAGGATATCTTTTACTATTATTTTTACATTAAATCACATCATTATAGTATACAAAACTAATTTTCTCAGCATGAATACACTGCATATTAGGCCAGTCAAAGATATTACCACACAAATTACCTACAAGAAAAATTTCAATTTTTGTGTCCTGTGAACTTTTCACTTCTTTCTTTTTCCCTTTGATTACCTCCCTCTCTCCCTCCAGCATACTGTCTCTGGTATCCACAGTTGATCCCCATGCTTTTATATCTTCTAACCTTTCAGTTTCTTCCATAGAGTGCAGACATTTGGTATATATTGAGTGAAGACATACGATGCTTCTCTTTCATAGTCTGGTTTGCTTCACTGAGCAGTAAATCTTCCAAATTCATCCCCTTTCTATCAAATGCCCTGGTGTCATTGTTTTTATGGCTGAGTAATAATCCATAGTTTATATGTCCCAAACTTTTTCAATCCATTCATTTGTTCATGGAAATTGGGTCTGGTTAAATGTCTCAGCAATGGTAAATAATGCCATACTAAGCATGGATGTGCAAGTGCTTTTCTGACTAAGTGTATTCCAATCCTTTGGGAAGATATCCTGGAATGGAATTGCTGAATCATATGGTATCTCTAATTTTAGGTCTTCGAGGAACCTCCATGTTGTTCTGCATAATGGCTATACTAATTCACATTCCCATCAACAGTGTAGGAGAGCTCCCTTTTCAACAAGCACTTATAATTCTTTTTAAAATTATATTTAATCACATATATCTTTGCAGTGTATATAAAACCTTTTAATGGCTGCCTTTTATCCCTTAAGATAAAGACTGAACTCTCGAACATAGCTTTATGTCTGCCTGATCTAGCTTCTGCCAACTTCTTTGGCATTATCTCTCACCATGACCCTCTTTTTCTTTCATTCTTTACCTTAGTGGATAGCAAAGATCAGAAAGATCTAGAGAGCTCATAAAAACACAGATTTCTACATGCCCCCTCACCCCAGAGATTTATATTCAGTGATTCTGGGGTGGGGCATGCTGACACTTTCCCATGGATGGTGATGATCTGGTTTGAGGACCACACTTTGAGTAGCACTCCCTGCCACATTTTTTTTTATACCAACATTGAGTCTGTATATCATGGTAAATGAAATATTTTTGTCAAAGAGCAGATGGAAAATGTTTTCTGCTTTGCACTCCATGTGGTCTCTGTCTTGGTTACTCAACTCTATCTCTTTAGCTCTGCTGTGAAACCAGCCAAAGACAACACAGAGTGAGTGTGGTTGTATTCCTATACACTTAATTTACAAAAAAAAGATAATGGATTTGATAGTTTGTGCATATAAACCATGAGCTATGCATAGTATATGCCATGCTACCTCTGACAACAGAGCTTGTGCACATGCCATTTCCCCCTTTGACTGGAATATTCATCCTCTTTCTTCGCCCAGTTAACTCTTTCTTAGGTTTCACTCCTCATATCAGTCATATGCTTTCATCATCATTCTGAACTCCTCCTAGATAATAATAGCTTTATCCATCTAGTCATTTATTCAACAATATTCATCACATGCCTTTTGAAGGCTAGGCACTGTTTGAAGTATAAGAGATATGGAAAAAAAGACCGACATGATTCCTATTATCTTGGTACCTCCACTGTGGTGACAAAAATGTACAATGGAGGTAAGCAAAGAGGAAATTAAATAAGGTCTGTTGGGGAGTATTATAAAAGTACAAGGTGTTACAAACAATAACTTAGGAAGAAGTCACTCTCCTTTGTAGTGATTGGCATAGTTCAGTTTTGTATTTTGGGAGACTATATGACTCATATTGTTCTACTTATCAGATTAAAAGTTCTAAGAGGCAGGACTTTGGCTCTACTTACCATTATTTCCTTATTGCCTAGCACAGAGCCTAACAGAGACAAGAGTTCCATAAATACTTATGAAATTGATTTTTATTTAATGAGTCATCCTTAGAACTGTTTGATTTATTCTTGGATAAAATACGCGCCCTAGTGGGTCAATACTCTGCCAGATGTACTCAGATATAAGCATTAACGTTTGTTCATTAATTCATTGATTCAGCATTTATTAAACACCTGTTATGTGATAGACTCTGCTCAAGGTCAGGAGGCAAAAGGATTGTCTAAAACAGAAGATACCTGCTCTCCTGAATTTTTTACCTTCTACTTTGCAGTAGAGTTTAAATGTAAATATGCAAAACATATATCGTGTTAGATATAAAGCAACGCAAAGAACAAAAATAAAGTAGGGAATAAGAGGTAGAGAGTGCTTGGTGGGGAGATAGGTGATTAAAATTTTAAATAGAGGAGGGGACAAAGGCCTTTCTGATAAGGTGACCTTCAAGCTGAGATCTGAAGAAGGTAAAGGAGTGAGCCAATGAGCAAGTAAATATCTAAACATTTCAAACAGAAAGTGAGTTCCAAGGCATAGAGATGCCTGGCACATCCATGAAACAATAAGGAGGCTCACAGGACTGCAGTGTAGTGACATATAGACCACATTTTTATGGGAATTAGCTCTATTTATGATGCTAGATCTTAAATGAGACCTAGACAATGTGGATTCAAGAAATTCTCTCACGTTTTCTCATGACCAAGTTCTCAGAAGCAAGATTCTTTTCAATCATGAGAATGAAGGGAAAGCAGAGATTTTACAAGTCTTTTAAACTTAAGTCTTCTTTTCTTACTCTAGCCACTGCTGAGATAAAGCCACTGAAAATGGTGGTTTAATGGCATAAGCTTAGTGAAAATTTTAAGGTTCAGATGTAACAGGAGATATTTCAGAAATATTCCTTATTTTGAGTGTTTTTCTGTGTTAGACTAACCTATATTGACATGAAAGGCCTCCATACTCATATACTTAAGTTCTTGTAAACAAACTACAGCCTTATTTAGGGCTCTGCTTCCTTAACACATTGGCTAGTCATTGCTAATCACAGCAGCCACGCTTCAACCAATCATAGACAGCCCACACTTGAAACTGTGTTCATAGAGGCGAACACCAAGCTGTAACCAATCCAAAGGCTCCTCTACCTCATCTCCCTCTCTTCCATTTTTTTTTACATCATTGTCTTTCTCCTGCCCATAAAAGTTACTGGACCATGGGGTACCTCAGAATTCCTTGGAAGCCATTCTAGGGTCTTCCCAATTTGTAAAAAAAAAAACTTAGTTTTTAAAACAATTTTCCCTTTTGCTCAATTTTCAAAAAGGAATTTTAAAAAGTGTAATTGATTATGTTCTTTAACTTTCTATAGGGCACACGTGCTCACCAGAGAGACAGACAGAAAGAGAGAGACAGAGACAGAGAGAGAGAGAGAGAGAGAAAGAAAGGAAGAAAGAAAGAAAGAAAGAAAGAAAGAAAGAAAGAAAGAAAGAAAGAAAGAAAGAAAATAATCTATCAGGTCCAAGATTTGAACTGCAGTCGGCCATGTGGAAGTCCAGCTTCCCAACCACCATTCCACCTGCTGGTCTCCTTTTCTTGCTCAATTAAACTCCACTAAATTAGATTTATCTAAAGTTTTTTTTTTTTTTAACAGATATGGTGTCAGAAGTGGGATCTGAAGTAGTGCTTGCAGTGGTCCCCAGGAGCATCAAGTGACCAAGCCAGGTACCTGCCAGACCTTTTGTGTTCATTGCTCTCTCACAGCAACTGGAGATTCCGAGTAAGCTCTCACTCAGATTCTGAGCTCCATGGACTTGTTTAGAGCTTTCTGAGTTTATTTGAGCAACTTTGGGTCTGAACTAGGTTCCAAGTTGCAGCAGAAACTAGTCTGGGTCCAGTATCAGATTGGACCCAATAATTACCTGGTTTGGATCCAGTTGTCTAGCTGAGTCAGACAGAAGCTGACAGAAAATAGGATCGTCTGGCTGGATCAGATAGAAACTGGCATTAAGTAGCTATCACTGTAGTGAGTGTGAGATTGGGCTTTTGGCAATTCGAACAGGATTTTGTGTTCTGTTATCTTAAAAGTTACTGGGGGGAGCAGCATGGCATGGTGGTTAAGGTGCTGGACTCCCTCATGGTTGACGGTAGTCTGAGTCCTGGACCTGGTGGCTTGAAAATCACACTGGACACATGTGCCTGTGTGCCTAATATTCCAGGAGAAGAATAGAAGAGAAGGGATGGTGATGTGGCCATGCTCTCTGGTGGGTGATTTCTCACTTTCCCTCTTTCTAGTTTTCTCTGTCTCTCCAGTGAGTGCACACAGCCTATGGAAAAAAAAAAAGTTATTGGACCATGGAGCATCTTGTAGTTCCTCAGAAGTCATTCTGGGGGTTGCTCAATATATAAATTTGTTGTTGTTGTTAAATTAAACTCTACTAAATTAGAGTTGTCTTAAGTTTTTCTTTCAATGTCTGGAAAGGTTCCTAGGTAGAGTTTAACTATACAGGACATGGTCTAACGTGGACTGTTGGTTATTTTCCCATATCTATTTTCCTTTTTCTTGCATTATTAGAACTCCTCATTTTAGTTGAGGATATGGCTGCTCACAGTAAAGGCAATTTGTCAGCCTTCTTTGCAACTAGGTGCGGCCATGTGGCTGAGATATAGCCAATGGGAAAGATACAAGCAGGAATATATGCACAAATCAAGCAAATGTCTGTAGGAGGAAGAGTATGATCTTTACTTTGCCTTTTTTTCCTACCTGCTGGATAGAATATAGATGTAATAGCCAAGACTTCGCCACCATCCTGGACCTTACATTCCAACAATAATGAATGGAAAGCTGAGAGGTGACAGAGTCCCATGAGATTTGTAAACTGTCCTTGGTCCTGGACTTCTCATCTCCAGAAATCTTACGGAAGAGAATGAAAGCTTCTTGGTCCTAAGCCTCTCTTAATTTGGGTTTTGGGCCTCATGCACTGAAACCGAATTATAACTAATACATCTAGATTTTATGGAGCTATGGAGACCTGAGAAAACAGAATAAATATAGGTGTTAATTTCTTAAGCCCTAAAACTGGATATAGTCAGAAGGAGGACTGTATGAGTGTATGTTTCAAAATGAAATTTCTATTATTGTTTGTTTTTATTACAAAGTGATACACCCTCATTTTAAAAAGATCAGATGGGCAAACAAGAAAGAAAATGAAAATATAACCATCATTTCACCGACCTAGAAATGCGGTTAATACAATGGTATATTAACTTTTGTTAATATATAGACATTTAAGAAGACATAATACCTTTAAAATAGTTTTATGAATTGGTTCTTTACAAGCTTAATGTGTTGCAACCATCATTTTATATCAAGGAATGTATTTTTGCATCGGGTTTTCAGTGGCTTCATGGTATATACCTTTGTGTGGCTATGCCATTATTTAACCATATCTCTATATGAATATTTTAGGTAGTTAATAATGGTATGGTAAACATTTTTGTTGCTATATCTTGCCACAGACTTTGAACTATTTCCTGAAGATAAATTCCCTGAATAAACAGGGTCATGAGCACGTGAGAGCTGGGCCTATTTCCAGAGAGGGAGAGGAATAAAGGAAGATGGGTAGTCTGTGTGCTGCCCATGCAAACAATGTGGCTGCAGGGCAGTCTTAGGGATTTAGGGTGACAAGTATTGTTGACTGGTCAGGCTTGGGCCATACACCCAACCATGTCATGTGGGGAGTGACAGCCTTGTCACAGTCACAGGGACTACGTTCTAGAGGGAAAGAAAAGCAATTTCTATGAAGTGGTGGTTCTCAAACTGTGGTCTCTGTACACTAGCAGCATCAGAATCGCCTAGAAATCTATTCAAAATGCATACTCCTGAGGCCCACTTGACTGCTGAGTCAGAAACATTGGGATCAGACACAGTGATTTGTGTTTTATCTTGCCTTCCTGGGAATTCATTGCATGCTAATGTAGGAGAGTCACTATCCTAAGAAAAATAAGGGCCCTGGTTCCAAACAGAGGAGGGCTCCCTATAGACAAAAAAGACAGCTGCTATTACAATTTAAATGTTTCCTTCCACTAAAATCCTGTAATGCTTTATGTGAATTTCATTTATTTTAGTTATATGTTCTACGATGAACTACATTCTTCTTGAGGGCAAGCAGAGGATGCTATTCAACTTTTTGTCCTCATAGTATCAAGCACAGGGCCTTATGTGTGGCAGGCATGCTGACATCATCTAGGTGTCCCTTCCTATTCACTCTCCATCTTTCTCCACTTTGGTCTTCCCTAAAGGCTGACCCCTCTGCATTACATTAATGGCCTCCCATACTCTCTGAATCCCAGCTGGGTTTGGTCAATGGATAATGCTGGAAAATAAATAAGGTTAGAGAAAAATAATACATGAGAGAAGATCAGGGTCTTTATTCCCTTGCCCTCATTCTGTGAGATCTCTTCAGACTAGTTGGACATCACTACCCACACCCCCTCCATAGGTCACTCGTCCTTTCGCTTCTAGACTCTTTTCCCAGAGTTTGGGGTGCATTCTTTCTCTTAGTCTCTCTGGCTTAGGGTTATAATAGCTTCATTACTCCAGACCCCAGTGCCCACCACCACCCCTTGTTATGCCCTACATCCATACAGCTATGAATTACCACTCTGTTAAAAAACCCCCCAAGGAGTATTCAATTGAGTGTATCACCTATTTTCTGCTGAGACCCTGATTGATAGAATTGACATGCAACAAACACTTGTTAACTACATCAGTACATTATAAATTGTTTTTTGTTGAAAACAAGGTGTATCCCTACTTTATATCATATTAAATCCTTCAGTAAATTTTGTAAGGTAGATATCTTCATCCCCTCATTAGCCTTCCTAAGCAAAATAAGCCCTAATATATTTATTAAAAAAATGAGAGAAATATTCCATTATTCATATTCTTGGTTTAAACCATTGCAGAGGGGTTAGGTAGTGTCTTCTACAGCTAGCATTCTTAGTGGTAACTTGAGCCCTTGATTTGCACAAAATCCCAAGTGATATGTGTGTTTGTAAAGATGGACAATGGTTTAATTTATTCTTGAAGTTAATTTTTAAAAATTATAATGACATAGGGACCGACAGTTAGCATAATGGCTGTGTCACTGAACTCCCATGTAGTTGACCACAGTTCAAGTCCTGGTCTCGGTGGCTTAAACTCACACCGGGTGTGTGTACATGTCCAAAATCCCGAGAGGAGAATGGAGGAGAAGGGATTGCAGTGTAACCATCCCCCCTGGGGGGTGATTTCTCACTTTCTGTCTTTCTGTCTCTCTGTTGCGCGCACGTGCCCTGTAGCAAAAACCTCTTCAAAAAAATTTATAATAACATAAATTAAAGGCACTTTGAGATATATTGTAAGTCAAATAAATTAGTTTTAGTCTTGACATGTGTAAATTATACCTTGGTATTTAAGAAGAGAAATATTCCCCATGGCCATTGATGGGCCCTCACCCTGCGGGTTATAAATCAAAGGTACAATTTGAGAATAAAACACTTTTTATGAAATAGAATGTCAAGAGCTCCTTGTTAAATTTGCTGTAGCAATTAAGTTCTCAGGTGAGAAAATGCCTCTTTTTCAATGTTTTATTAAGTCTGTCATTCAGTACTCCATTTATAGGAACAACTCTTCATAGTAAGTACACATTAGGATGACTTCTCACCTCTATTTAAATGAAAAGTTTGAGAGGAGGAATCGGTCCCTGTCCACTGGCTCGAATAGCAATTGAGACTGGATCTGTGCCAGTTCACAGAGAAGGGAGAAGTGGGGACAGCAAATGGCTCACCCAGTCAGGTGGCTGGCATTGAGGCAGACACATACCCAAAGGCCGTGTATCATTTGGGACAGCTATCACCACATGCCACCGACATCTTCTACTGAAGTGTGACATTGGCCCTTGTTCTCACCTAAGTTTCAGATTCAACAGTGATGGTTGTATTTTGCTCACTTTGCTTTTTTTTTTTTAAGAATTATTTCGGATCAGCAGTTAGCATAATGGCTATGTCGCTGGACTCCCATGTAGTCGACAGCAGTTTGAGTCCTGGACCCAGTGGCTTAAATTTACGCCAGGCACGTGTGTGTGCATGCCCAAGATCCCGAGAGGAGAATGGAGGAGAAGGGATTGTGGCGTGGCCATCCCCCCCGGAGGGTGATTTGTCGCTTTCTGTCTCTCTGTCTCTCTCTGTCTTTCTGGCGAGCGCACACACCCTATAGCAAAAACATTAAAAAAAAAAAAAAAGAATTATTTAATTTATTTATTTATTTTCACATGAGTATTGCTGGAGAAAGAGAGGGAGAGAGAAAGCCATCAGGTACGGGACTTGAACTGTGGTCAGCTGTGTGGGAATTCCAGTGTCTTGACCAACACACCACCTAATGGTCCCATTCACTTTGGTTTTTAAATCAAGAAGAAGTGGGTGAGAAAGAGAGCAATAAAGAGAAGGTGACAGAGAAAAACTGCTATAAATGTGACTGTCTTTGGCTTCTGTAATCATTCCAAGGAAAAAAGTCTCATTGAAGAGGTTATTTCTCTCTGGAATAAGGGCCACGAGGTTTAGAATCACATAACCCTATATTTAAATTTGTTTTTATGACAACAACCAGCGTGCACTCCGAGTCACCTTCTTTAAGCCTTAATTTCTTCACTCATTGACTGGTGACACTGCCACTGGCATAGTAA